CAGCATGATTTTTCCCCCATTGAGATCTGATGTGTTTTCAAAGCGTTCCTTTAATTTTTTTGAGCAGTGTGTATATGTATGTGTGTGTGTGTGTGTGTGTATATATATATATATATATATATATATATATATATATATATATATATATATATATATATATATACACACACACACACATATAAGTTTGTTTATACTTGAATACTGTAAGTTTTCGTGTATATATGACAGAGCTATTTCAGAGATAAGGCTGGAGCTGGTGACCCATGACCTCTTGGTCTACATATATAATGGAAAAATATATAATGATTAATGGTAATATGGTAATAAATGTGATATATATAATAAATATATTTTGCTGAAGTAAGGCACAATTTTATGTATTATATTTATGCAAAGTATGACATTTTCAGTTATTTTGGAGGTATGGCTGAAGCTGGATTCGAGCCCACAACCTCATACTTCAGAGCGCCGTCTCTCAGCCTTAGACAGATGCCTTAAAGGGACAACGGCACTAGGCTATGGGTGTGGGTCCGATAAGTGCTGGTCCCCAGACAAGTCATCTTCGGAGAGGTGAGGCGAGCCCTCTGGGGTGAATTTCAGGGGCCTCTGTGGTGGGAGGGGCGGGTCTGGGGCCCTTGTGATGCTTAGGGGCCTGGGCAGGGAAAGGAGTGGCCTCTTTTCTCTGTCGGCTGGAGTGAAATCCTCTGTGAAACGCACCTTAGCTGCCTTCCACACAGCGTTTCTTACAATACGTGACAAGAACTGCATGACAACAACAGGAGGTTTAGCTTCGTCATGCTCCCTTTTCCCCACCCTGTGGACCACACTAATGGTGTCAGAAAGTTTGTTCTTTCCTTCAGGCCACAGATATGAAGAATTTCGGCTCTAGCCTCTTCATTTTCTTTCTCGGCTAAGCCCAGCATTCACAAATTAAATCTGCGAGAGTATCGTTCTAATTAACAATACGAGCTTCGCACATATCCAGCTGCTTTACCTCATATCAGAATGATCAGATATCCCTTTCTTGGGAGCTGGAGATTTGCTCTGTGTTTCAAGCAGGGGGACCGATGAGAAGTTCTCTTCCTCCTGAGATTGCACAGAATCAGAGGATTTGCTGTAAGAATGAATTTTGGCAACAGCAGTGCCGCAATCAAAAATCGATTTCTTTTTCACGTTGTGACATTACTATAGCCTATTATCGGACAAACTGAAACACTTTGTAGCTGTTGTGAGCAGCTTTAATGGACTTTTTGTGGAGCTTCGAAAAACTTATGTTAGCAAGCAGCCATATTGGCCAGCCCCCAGGCCCCCCACAGTACTCATCCGCCGAATGGTACAACTGAGACGACATACACCAGGGGTGTCAAACTCCAATCCTGGAGGGCCGGAGCCCTGTGTAGCTTAGTTCTTTCCCTGTTCCACCACAAATGATTCAGCTCAAGAGCTGTGTGGTAATTAGCACAAGGAGGTGCAAGGACCTGAATCAAGTGTGTTAAACAAGGGAAATCCCCAAAAATGTACAGGTCTCCAGCCCTCCAGGACTGGAGTTTGACACCTGTGACATACACGATAAAATTTATGCCAATTTCTTTTTTCATATGCGTTTCTGTCCCATATTGTAATTAACTAAAATTTCATGAGGCAATTCATTATGCATTTGACAGTACACTCGTTTTAAGGATTCCAGATATCAAACTATTTCCAACATGTATCATTTATTTATTTATTTAATTTTGATTTATTTATTTTTTTTAGGGTCGGGTGGGTCCGGACCATATCCCGGATGTGCGGGTGCTAAGCAACGGGGACTCTAAACAAAGTGTCGTGGACGCGTGTAAAGCGGTGTAGTCTCTGTAGCAGTGTTCCATCAATACTGTATTCAAACTGTAATTTCAATGGCTGGAAAAAAGAAAGAAGCGAGCCTGCAGGTAAGCTTAAGATAAAAGTCATCATAATGAGGTGAACTCGTGTCGTCGAGGTTACTGGTTTGAGCCCGGACAGTGGATATGGACGTGTGCCTAGCAATATTGGGGGAGTATGTTTATGGGTGCGGGAGGTTCGGAGCTGATTTGGTCTCTACTAGTGTTGAAAGCAAATATGTACCCTCGGTTATATTGTACCAAAAGCAACCTTAATGAGCGCAGAAAAGTTTTCAGTTGTATAAACTATGGGAATTACGTGAAATCGTTATTGCATAAGAACACAATATTTACAGATGAGTGTAAATTTACTCAACAATAGATCCACAAATACATTTTTACGACATTTATTTTGATTTTTACATTTTAACATTTAATTTATTTTAATTGTTACAGTTTGTCTCGATTGCCCTGGAGCATTCCTCATATGACAATTAACATTTGCAAAACAAGTGTAATATCCATACCGTAATGTCACTTCTGCACAGCATTTCTCATTGTTTCACACAAAATTCCAAATGTTTTAGTACATTCATACGCAAATGGTTCTGCACATTTCTGCTTTACACAAATTTCCAAACATTTTAGTACATACATGCAAATGCTTTTGTACAGTTGTCATTTGGTACAATTTTCAGTTGCTTTAGTGTAGTTGATTAAGATAAATTATGTAGTTTCCCATTGTAATAATTTCACACCCAAAAAATATATGCATGCATGATCATCATATTAGCCACCACATGCAAAACATTTAACCAAGCTTTCAAAATTATTTTAAAATATATTCTAGAAATTGCAGTGATACACCTTGTTGTATTTTTGGTTGCCATAGTATAAGGTTTTGTTGTAATTTTGTTGTTCCTGTATTGCCATTTGCCAATTGTTTTTTACTATGTGATGTTTTGGTTAGTATGGAAGCCCATTTCCGCCAGTAAAAGAAAAAAAAATGAAATAGAAAGTCGAAATAACGAGATGGAAAGTCGTAATTACGAGATAAAAAAATCGAAATTACGAGATACAAAGTCGTAATTATGAGATAAAAAGCCGAAATTATGAGATACAGTCATAATTACGAGATAAAAAGCCGAAATTATGAGATACAAAGTCATAATTACGAGATAAAAAGCCGAAATTGAGATACAAATTCATAATTACGAGATAGAAAGTCGA